CTGTCAGGTGGCCTGCACAGATTAGGCTAATGCTTTAGTTTTTTATTTCTGTTCAATTGTTAAAACAGGTTTCTTAGCAACAGTCACTATGCATACTTGCACAAAATATAGATGTTTCATTTTATATAGGTCATAAATAATTTTTTGGTTTTTATTTGACTGTCATATTTCACCTGCTCAAATAAGTATAACGTAAATTCTTTATTTAAGGATTTTGCTCATTTAAATAGGTGAGTAAGGCCAAATTAAACACTTCTTATTATACTGTTGTGATTAGTTGCAATTAAAATATCATTCCACCCTAAAATTGCATCTGGACTGTCACAAAACCAACATAAAAATTGGTGGTTCATTCTGGGAGGGTATACATCTTAAAAATTATCTGGATATTTTAGAACCCCAGTTCTCTGAACTGTCCAGGAAATGTAAGGGTGGTTCCATTGTCAGTCCATGGATGATCATTTCTTAAAAAATGTCTCCTCATTGCTATTTTGGGAAAATTATCCCAATAAAAATTGGTAGTAGTTGTCTCATATTTAACATTCAGTCAGGCACAGGGATTCGTCAGTCACATAAAAGTAAGGCATCGGGAAAGTACTAGATCTATAGTCTTGGGGTCTGACCAGCTCTGGGAAGATGCTGAAGAGGTTGAGCTGAGTAAAAAATGTTCAGATAAGTTTCAGGAGTTCTCCAGAAGAAGATGGAAGAAGGAATTTCAGGAGTACTCGGGAAGAAAGTGATGGAGGTAAAAATTAGATGCCAGCAAAGAGTGAATGAAGGCCAGACAGAAGCACCACAGTGTGAAATACGGCTTGGAGAGCTGTGCTCCTGGTCTGTACTTCTGGGCTCAGGTATTTTAAAGTCAAAGGCTGTGCGTGTCACAGCTTGGCCCTAGAACTAAGCATACATTTTAATGGTAGAATTTTTTTTTTTTTTAAATATGTCTTTATTGATTTCAGAGAGAGGAAGGGAGAGGGAGAGAGAGATAGAAACATCAATAATGAGAGAGTCATTGATCGGCTGCCTCCTGCACGCCCCCTCCTGGGGATCGAGCCCGCAACCCGGGCGTGTGCCCTGACCCAGAATCGAACCCTGATCTCCTGAGTCCTAGGTCCATGCTCAACCGCTGAGCCACACCCAGCCAGGCGAAATTTTTTTTTTTTAATTTGGGAAGTAATACAACATAATTAGTAATGTGGACAGAGAAAGGAAGGGAAGAATACATAGATACACACACAGGCGCACACACATGATTCTGTGCCAAAGCACATATATCTTCTCTCATTTCATCATTACCACAACACTCACTATCACGCTGTTTGGTGGGTATTATTTTCCAAATATTATAGGAGAGAAAGAGGACAGGCATTAGAAGGGGAACTTCTAACCTGATTGCCCAAGGTAAGTGAAGGCATTAGTATATCACCCTAGTTCCCCTCTGTCCAAAAAGTCAGTGTTCTTCATGTTACATTTCACTGCATCTCAGTGGTAGTTGATTTATAAAATCAAACTCTATGTCACTGTTAGACTGAACTGACTAAATAAATAAATTTGCTTACTACACTTGTAGCATATTGGATTTTCATTGATAGATATATAGATATATAAAACAAAAAGACAGACATAAAATTTTATGTACACATAATGTAAGTTTTAGAATTTTTAAATGTTACCAGAAAAACTTAAAATCACAATAAAAAATAACCTGTGTGTATAGTGATTCATTGTACAAAAATATACTTCTTTTTTTATCCGCTTTATAAATTGTAACATTGCTGCACATTATAATTAACTAGAAGTAAAGTGATCAATTGTCCCAATTTTGTCTGGAACTGAACAGTTTTCCAGGTCTCAGTATTTTCAGCACTAAAGCTGAGAAAGTCCTTAGCAAACTGGAAAGAGATGATTGTCCTAAATAAGACATTCTTGAAGCCCTAACTATGTTGCTTTGAAGGAGAAATATTTAGCTGTTAGGCAGGTAGAGAAAATAGAATCTGTGCATTGAATTTAATACAGTGTTTAAATAGCAGCATTCAATTTTGATGTCGATTTTGGCAAATATTAGATAGTTTATATACTTTCTGTGCGTGATTGTCTTTCTTACCCAAGACCCTTTGAATTTCCTCAGCCTAGCTTTACTCATCTCTGTTGCCAAGGACCTGGAATGCTACTTTGCAGATACTCCCCAGTGAAACAAGCACAAATGGTGAAAATTACTTTTTCAATTATTTAAAAAATAAAAATCAACCATTTACTGTCCCTATAAAATTTCTAAACGCATCTAGCAAATGAAGAAATATTTACTGAAGGACATCTGAAATATTTTAAGAATGGCAAGAGACTGTGGCACTTGACACAGGACCTGATCCTTCCCTCCCCCTCCCATCTCCCAAATCAGCTTGATAGAAAACCCACTCTGGGCAAGTGTGATTGAGAAAACATGTTCCTCTCCCCTCGGTTCCCAGTAAGAGAGAGAACATCCTACAAGGGGGGGCAGGATGCAGCATTTCTCATCCCCTCCAACTCTGAGTTTCAGAGGACAACTGGTGAGTGTGGCTGGGAGGTGGACAGCTTATATCCCCCACCCAGCTCCACTCATAGGGCACAGGCTCTACCCCTGGCAGGCAGATAATATGGGGCTCAATCATTCACTCCATTTTGCTAGTTCCTGGGGAGCCAAAATGAGAAGACCACCCTCTGCCTTCACCCAGGGTCAGGAGCAGTGGCTCGGAGAATTTCCCAGGGTTATAGGAAGTACATAAGACTAGAGAACTCAGAAACTCTTCAGAAAATATATGCTTTCCTTTATTTTTTAGCTTTAATCGACATAAAATCATAAAAAGCAATAATTATAACTTTTATTGGGCCTCTCGAATGTTTTTCCACAATTCCCAGCAACTTATAGTCAGTTCCCCACACAAGCTCCACCGGTTTGCTACTGCTTTTGCAGCTTCCCGAAATACCTTTCCTTCTTTCTGCACTTTGTCTGCCTCACTCTGCTCAAGAATTCCTTTGTAGTCTTCTAACATCAGCCAAGTGTCATGTGCAGGAACCAATTGGTTTGTCTGAACCAATAGGTTTGACCTACGTGTCTTCTTTGCACACTGTAGTGTCTTCTTTGTTCCTCTAGCAGGTGTTGAAATCTGTTTATATGTGTCTGCCCAACAAGATTCTTCATTGGTGGGATTGCACTGTATTGATTTTTATATGTCTCAGTCCTAGTAACAGTGTCTAGAGCATAGTGGGCCCTGAGCAAATATTTACTGAAATATACAGTTGAACACAACCTACACCAACATTCTTTCAGAAATGCTATAGTCACTGAAGAGATTCAGTAGCAATTTTCTTCTTAATTTAGGCCTGGGCCCAACTGACTAAAGGTTCTGGAAAGGGCCACTGTGAGAAAATGCTTTCTGATTCAGAAAAGGAGATTAAGTGATAGGGAGAATTAAGATCACTATATCCTTTACTCCCTGACTTTCAAATGTGCCTTCATTTGTAATTTTTGAGAACTTTCTTATGAGACAGGACACAACATGAAATCATGAGACATCAGTGCATTCTCACCCCTCAAATCACCAAGAGAATTATCAAAGGCAGATTAACAGTATGACTCATACCTTGATCCTATAATACTCAAAAATATTCTGGTTCAAAAATCAGTAACAAATATTGACAAGTAGTTTTGCTTTAGCACTGAAATGGTATGCACACGGCCCTAGTTTCAAATAACCAGCTTGTCAAAAGAATATCTTGCTATTTAGAAATAGGTACCGTAACTAAATTACCATGATGAATGGATAGATGATGTCATCTGCGTTCAGCCAGTTGGTAACGACCTTGCCTTCATTCAGCTGGCCAGAATAATGGTGATAATATATGGTGCACTGAGCCTTTCCGTTAGCAGAGCCCTTTCATGCAATATGTTTATTTAAAATTGTAATACTATATAATAATAATTATGAGGAAAACATTGATGACCTGGTTCAAATATCAGCTCTAAAACTTTCTAGCTATGTGAACTTGGGAAAATTTCTTGGTGTCTCTAGGCTTCAGTTTCTTCATATGTAAAATGGGAAAGTTAATAATACTCACTTTTAGCACTTTTGTGGGGTTTTAATAAGTAAGTATACATAAGCATTTGCAACAATGTCCAGTACATGGTAAGATTTCAAAATGTCTGTTATTATGATTGAAAATATATGTTTGAAAATAGTAATTTATATGTATATATATATATATATCACTATATGTCTCTAGTTACTTAAAGATTTATATAAATTCAATTTCTGTGGTTTTATTCCTTTCGTTGGATTTTTTAGTCCAGCTGCTTCACACACAAAAATGGCAGTGTTTGTTATTACCAAGAAGGGTAGCTAATAAAGAAGATAAAAAGACCTTATTAGCCAAGGTCACTGGGTTTTTTTGAAACGTGTCTGATCCTTAGAGCAATAAACAACAATGGCCCTTTTATATGTGTTTTGGGGAAAGATTTCTGTGCATTTGCCACATTGTCAGTTTAAAAGTGTCCCCTCAGTTTTCTTAATGCAATACCTTTTTTCTATCTGTGGAAAAACAGATTCTACTTCTGCTCTGGCCTAAGTCCTTTGTAGCTGTTTGCAGATGTCTCCCCTACCCCGAGCTCTCCCAAAGCTACCATTAAGGCATTTTTTACTGCTTGAAAAAGTTTTAATATTCAGCAGGTTAAGGAAACCCGTGGTCAGCTTCAGAATTTTAGTCTCTGCTGAGCTTTCAAGGTGTCAAGACCCTAAAATAATATGAACAGCAGGAGTCCTAAATCTTTCATTATTTCTCATTTCCCCTTGAGCATACTGACTTTGCAATAAAGAAGCTGTCATTTACACTCTTCTTTATTGCGAGGTAGGTAATAGCTATGGGGAGGAAAAATAAGGAACTGTGTCAAGTTAGCCTGACTGCCATTATGATTCATGTGTAATCATTGCCCATTTGCATGTCTCTTGTTATACTGTTGTGTGCAGGTACTTCATAGATTGGAGGAGCGATGGGGACAGCTACTTTACAATAGATGGAACGGAAGGAACCATCGCCACTAACGAGTTGCTGGACAGAGAGAGCACTGCGCAGTATAATTTCTCCATAATTGCGCGTAAAGTTAGTAAGTATGGCGCGGACGGAATCAATGGGACGCTGCGGCTTTTGGATTTAACACTCTTAAACGAGTCCCTGCCGAGGTGTTTTTCATTTTTGGACTGACAGCCGAGCGGTCCCCTGGGGGAAGTGAGAAACCTGTTCCTTTTGCTCCCAGCGTGCGTCTGGAGAGGTGGTGACAGCTGCCAGCGCGCCCTGATGCAGGGTGGCAGGAACGCCCGGCACTGCATTCCCCTGTGGGGCCTCGCCCCTCCACCCTGCGCCCTCAGAAGTCGCCCACATTCCCCACTGCGCTTCCACAGAGGATCCCCGTGTGGGGTTGGGAGCTTCATTGGCCAGGCGGGAGGAAATAATTATAACATAAAATTACCCACTCTGAAAGATTTTCTGAAATTGAAGACAGCATTTTTAAAACCACCCCTCGTCCTTCTTTCTGCTTTCATTAGAACGTAATTTTTAAATGAATATCACTGTGGAATATGCAGGAGTTTTAAGTACACTTCTTCAAAGAGTCACTCAGCATCTATAGGATGGTTCAAAGTGATTCCTTGTGTTGATTCCTGCTTGGTCCAGAAGAGAATCTTCTAGACTGAGCGATTATAGGTCTTGTGTGGCCGGACAATCGAGGATATAAATCACAGCTTCTTAAGGTAACTGATTAGGTGGGGGTGGCGCCAGCTGGCTGTCAATATAGTTGTTTGTAACAAAAGTGTAGCTTTTTTTCCAGTCCTTCTGCCTTTGGTCTCTTGAAAGATTTGGGGAAATCCCTTCTGAGCATTTGCTGTTGCACTTTGTGCCTCTGGTGCAAATACGCTGGCAGCTAATTTCACCTCTCAATGCGGGCGAAGAGCTAACTGTGAATGTTTTCTGTTGGAGGGCTTTTTCATCAATCTCAACTCAGTGGGGCGTAAATAAGAAACAGTTTTGTTTATCTTCAACAACTGCTTCCAAAAATGAAGAGTCAGACACCGATTCCCAGGCCTCAGTGACTGCTTTAGCTCATTTCATTACCTTTAGGTTATTCTGAGTACTCAAGGTAAAGCCTACTGTAAAAGGAAATGTAGCCTCCTGTAGGTTGGAACAGTGACCTGTCCTGGGAGAAGGCTGACTACCCTGAGGCTGCCATACGGAGAGGTCACATGTCGGTGGCCAGGCTGACCGTCCCAGGTCAGCTCCGCCTTCCAGCCGTACCGGCCAGTGTTCTGTATGTGAGGGTGAAACTCTGACCTCTTGTCCAGGCCACTTGCCAGCTGAAGACCACAGCATAGCCTCTGTCGATGCCATGTGAAATGGAATGTATACTCAGCCAAGTGCTGCCCAGATTCTTATCCACATAATAGTGAGAAATACAAAAAGTGTATTTATTTCAAGCAACTACATTTTGGGGCCATTTCTTGTTACACAGCAATAGATAGCTGCAGAACTCGATGACACAATAAATTGGAACTACGATTCTTTGCTTGTGGGGATACAGATTCTCTAGTCTGTTGGAGTGGAAAAGAGATAGGGGATAAAAATGCACAAATCTCTCTTATCTGCGCCCATATAGTGTTTGGTCGTCACTACATCTATGACTAAAATAGGTTGGCAGTAAGGCAGTTGCCCAAATACAGTACTGTTTGCTCCTATGATTTTTTTAGTTATTTAATGGGGGGTGGGTGTGGGGGCAGTCTAGCATCCCATCTGCATAGGAATGTGATATGGACACCAGTGGGGACCTTGCAGCTTTTTAATTCCAGTGTCCCCTTGTGCGGCAGGCAGCCTTCTTTGTTGATTTAATAGCATCATTCCTCAATTTCAGCTCCTTTCTGCGGTACCTACTTGACCCTGAGGAAATTCACACATCTTTGTCATGCTAAGTGGGCACATTGCAAGCTACTCTTCCACTGCATCCTTTGTCCTGCCATCTCCTGCCCTCCTTGCTCAGCTAAGCTCTGAACACAGATGATCCAGTCAGCTGTCTGAGCAGAGATATTATCAGCAGAACCGAAAGCCAACCTCCCCTTTGGAGCCCCCCAGCCCTCATTCTCTTTATTTTTCTAAAGCTTCCTTTTACACTTGGCATCTTTCTTGTCTCCAGTACATCCTATTACAGATGCATGTGTCATCCAGCATTCTTTTCATGCTAACTTTCAATTATTTCATTCATCTGGAATGTTGGGGGGAGTTAATCATGTTGTATGTAGAAAATTAGCTTTAGTTTCCTAAGATGTTTAGCAATATATTGAAAATGAGCATCTGGAGACATTGAGTATAAGACTTGGACATAGTAAGTGACAACTGACCAGAGGCAGTCTCTTCAAATAATTTCTAATCAACAAAGACATATTGTCCATAGATTATTATTTAGAATACTGTCTAATCTTTTTATAAACACACACACAAAACTTGTACATGTTTTGAAGTATGAGTAGTAGACCCTGTACCTTAACTCAAGGTGAAAATCTGCGGTCACCTGTATTGTAGCTCTGAAACGTCCCTTTCTCCCCAGTGGCTATCTAGGCCACCAAAACCATCATCACGCTATGAGAGCACCTGTAGGAGTAGGTCTGGGACCTACAATCAGAGCATTGAGCTTCAACCATTTAGAAAATGGAAGGAGACTATGGACCCTTACAGTGGAAGCAAGTGTCATTGATCCTCAAAAACTTAGATTTTTCAAGCTTAGTGAATGCTATTTTTTAAATTATGAATGTAATTAGGGCACATGCTGGCTCTGCCACACCAACTTGCTGGCTATAGTATTTACTTAAATGAAAATTAGGAAACCCTAGTGTATGGAGTCTCATAAGTTATGTTGGCCCTTACTGGGACATATGGAGAACTGTGACTTAGACACATAATCTGTATACAGAATATAAGTGATGGTAAGCTAATATTTCTAAAATCTCTACCTACTCCTGGTCTATTCCAGTATTCATTTAAAGACCTCTGTGTGGATAGGTTTTAGAGCCCTTAGGAAGTCTGCTAGGATAAACAACATTATATATCTGTGTGAAAACTAAACAGGATAAACACATACCTTGTGGTAATTAAAGGTGCTACAAGAATAGCTTATTGTGGGCTTTATTTTGCTTGAATTCACAGAGTTTATTCATATTCTAGTGCATAAGGCTATTTTCATTGACTGAACTAGTCAGCTGAGCAGAAAACTATCCTCATACTGAATGAGAAATAAATAGCCCACACTTGCTGTGCCAAAAAGAACACAATTGTATAAGTATACCTTGTTGAAAATTGAACTAGCATATGTTGGGCCCTCAATCTTCTATAAAAACTCTCAGGCGAAATGAAATGGTACAATGATTGAACAACTTCTAATTAATTAAAAAGCAGTCATTAATCAGTGTTGCTGTAGTTGGAGGTCCAAATAATTTTATTAGACTTCTAATAATTCTTTTATGCATTACTGCTTTGCTATTTTTATGATCCTAATCTTGAGACTTTTTAAAGAGACAGAAGCTCCAAAAATTCACTTCATTCAAATTATCAGAAATTTTCAACATGCAGATATTTCTAATTTTGCTGTTACTATAACAGATATCATTAGGGGAAAATAACTAAAAATAACTACATTAAAACCCTAAAACATATTTTATATAATTATAAAATAAATTGATGATACCAGAGATAATTCTTTTCTTGGTCATGTATATATCTGGATGACAACAGATTATTTCCAGTCATTGTGGAATAGGTAAAAAATCAGTGGATTGACTTACTAAATACTATATTTGGGAAAAATTCAATATATATATATATTATTATGAATTGGGATTAAATTGTTAGGCAATTGATTTTTAAGGTTATTGGGTAAATAGATCTATTTTGTTATAAGTTCTTTTAACTTCAACATAATGCAGGTGGTATCATTTTCATATGTATATTAAAATAAAACTCTAGGATTACTATCCATAATTGAGGCTTAACATAAATTCATACATTTGTTTTTATAAACTTGCATAGAGTATCATTTATATGCAAAACACTATTTGTTTTGGGTTATGAGAAAACTAAGACTGAAGCCTAGTTTTGAGGGTAGTAAAATTTAGGAGTAGTTAGAAATTCACCAAAATAGATAATTTTAATAAATTATAACTATGCAAATTATGTTGAATTCCAGGGCCTTCAGATTTAAGTGTGGTCTCGTATACCTCCAGGTAGAGGCTGCAGGAGATTCTGACTGAAGAGTGTGGTCATTAAGTGATAAAGGATTTAAACAGAAAGAAATAGACGTTATGGTAGAATTTTCTGAAGGATTTCACCTGCCTGTATAATAGTTAGCCATGACATGTGTTCTGAGACCAGATGAGAAGTACCTAAGTTTTATAGAATAATAATAAGTAATAATAACTTAAACGAATAAACTGAACTATTCTCATGGCTTCATATACCTAAACTCAAGGTGGGTATCATCGTCCGCACTTTATGTGTGAGGCTCAGAGTAGGAGGCGGAGGGTCAGAGGGATTTTGTTGCTCAGAGTCACACAGCAAAGAACAAAGCTAAGACTGGAGCCCTGGACTCTCTCACTACAAAACCCACTTTCACAAGGACAACTATTCACTTGCCTATTCTTAGTTTTTTCCTTCTATTGCCCAAATAATTGTCAGTCTCTTATTTTTCATGAATGTCTTACTTTACATGTATGAGTCTAGGAAGTTTACCTACTGTTCTGTAATCCCGCCCCCCCCAAGTAACTATATGAACTATTTTGTGTTTTCGAAGAAAGATAAGTTTGATATATACTAGTATTAGCAACATTTCAGTACTACTTGTAAGAGTAATACTTTGAAGAGAGAATCACTTCCTTTATATAATTTATATAATTGTAAAGGTTCATAGCATTTCATAAAGTCTTGCAATGTATCATTCACATGGAAATAATAATAATTAACGCCACTATACTCAGAAATTTAATTTAGGAATAATACCATTTTTCCTCACTATTACATGCTGTGTAAATATAGTGGAATTCAAATTTATGTTGTAATACCTTATATTTTATT